TATCGTTTCACATGGTTGCTCATCGTGCCAAAACCACCGGAGAAAGAGAAAGTAAACCGTTTCGAAGAAGTTTTCTCTTGAATTGTTGTTTTTGATCAATTCAATCTCTCCGTCGAAAGAATTCTGGTCCTCGGAGGTCTAGGGTTTCAGTCCTCATGGAGACGCGCCGATACCAATTAGTTGAGTTCGATTATTCTTCTCGAAAAAAATGAAGTGTGCAGCTTCGATCGATCTCGTTCGATCCAGCAAGAGGTATGATTCCGACCAGTTACTCGGATTTGAGATTTGGATTCTTAATTTCTTCAAAAGCGAAGGTTTCGTGTGATTTGGATTTATGTGTCGTGTTTTGTTCCGGCGAAATTTATAAGTTCTATGGCTTTGTATTTTGTTTGGGGTAATTGTGTTGATGAAACCAATTTGATTTGATGAATCGCAGATTTTCGTTCCTGATAATGGATCAAGATACTAGCAGCAAGAAGGTTCATCAATTCTTTGTCGCTATGGAAACGGCCTTTAGGGTTCATCCCCTTAAGGATAAGTTTAATTTCTCCTTGGAGGTTAGTTTGATTCTCTTTTGTTACCATCACATGAATATCCTCTTTTGTGTTCATCACCTGCAACTTTTTTGATGGTGATGTCTAGTTTATTTGCTCATTGTAGGTTTTAGATAATTACGTCATGAAAAGAAACTATTTATCAGGACTTTCCCACCTTCTAGTCTAGCTGAGGATGAGACGTTCCAGCTGATCGTCGACAGGATGCAAATGCGTAGGACCTTCTTTGACTCCTGAGCATTTGGATATACCTTTGGTGTGTCATGATGATTGTCAATTGTTGGTATACTAGCTAATACTGCGCATTATTTTCAGTTTTCTTGAATAAAAAGCATGGGCAGTTGATTCTGGTACTCCATTCTGAAGTGGCGGCCTAACATCTCTTTTCGTGTAGCTTGCGGAGAATGAACTCCTTTGAAGACCCTTGTGATAAGCTGCTTTGCATAACAAGCTGTTGCACAGTCATTAACAACCAGATACTTGATGCATCCAAGTCAAAGGACCAAATTCTGGCAGGAGCAAATGAGTTGTTACCTCTCCTCACATATGCTACAATCAAGGTATAAGCTCTTAGCTATTCTCAACTATCTGTCTTTTTCTCTTTCGCCAATCTTTCTAGTTGTGTAACATTGTAATTATGTCGTGGTGTAAATTATTTCCAGATCAAGTCTCAGTCTGGGTTTTATAATATAATAGTTTTCTCTAAGAAAAGCAGTGTCTTTTTATGTTTGATTTTAGATTTTCTCTGCAGTGATAAGTTAAATACTTGCTATGTAAAACTAATTCGTTTGATCTACAATTGTAGGCAAATCCTCCGTACTTGCATTCCAATCTCAAGTTCATTCAGCTATCCTGGAAGAAGACCAAAATTTTCTCTGAGGATGCTTTTCGTTGACAAACCTGCTCTCGGCCAAGACTTTTATTATGGAATTAACGGAAAAGTCACTTTCCATTGAGGAAACTGTTTTTTACAGAAAAACATGCAAGGTGCAAGAGCAAAATTGTTCACAGAAGCAAGTCCAGCTAAACTATTAAGTGGATTAAGAAGTTGTGCAGCGCTGAGTAAGAAGATAGACTCTGGTTCATCACCAAAGAATGCAAACACATGCTTCTTTGATAAGTGGTGAGATTATTCAAATGATTTGCATAATAGTTATGATATTTTGGTTTATGATAAGTTAATAATCTTAGTAGT